CTGTGGGGGCGCGCGGGGAGCAGAAGCGGCCGTCGTAATGCCCCCTCCGTTGCCTGCCGGCGGCGGGCGCTGCCTGCGGTCTGCATCGCTGCTTGCTTTCTGCCTGCCCAGGCACCCAAATGAGCCAGGACCCTATCGAGGACCCCCAAATTAGCATGGGGAGGGCACCAACAACAAGCAAAAGTCCTAGGAGGACTCAAAAAATTAGCAAAAACTCTAGCAGGCACCAAAAATTAAGCAAGGCACCAAAAATGAGCAAAGACCCCAGCAGAGACCCAAAAACTAGCATTAGCAGGGCACCAAAAATGAGCAGAGACCCAAACGGGGCACCACATGAGTAAAGACCCTAGCAGGGTGCCCAAAATGAGCAATCATCCTAGCAGACTAGGATCCAAACATTAGCTTTAGCAGGGAACCAGAAATTAGCAAAGACCCTAGGAGGGCCCCAAAAATGAGCAAAGACCCTAGGAAGCTACCAAAAATTAGCAGAGACCCTACCCAGGTACCAAAAATTAGCCTAGCAGGGACCCAGAAGTTAGCGTTAGCACAGTGCCCCAAATGAGCAAAGACCCTAGCAGGGCACCAAAAATGAGCAAAGACCCTAGGAGGCCCCTAGATGAGCAAAGAGCCTCAGAGGGCCCCAGAAATTAGCAAAAACCCTTACAGGCACCAAAATTAGCGCTAGCAGGGCATGAGAAATGAGCCAAGACTCTAGCAGAGACCCAAAAATTAGCACTAACAGGGCAGCAGAAAATAGCAAAGACCCTAACAGGGCACCAAAAATTAGCAAAGACCCCAGCAGGGACCCAAATGGATTAATGACCCTAGGAGGGTGCCCAAAGTGAGCAAAGGCCCTACCCAGGCACCAAAAGCGAGCAAAGGATGCTAGCAGGGACCCCAAAATTAGCCCTAGCAGAGCACCAAAAATTAGCAAAAACCCTAGTGGGGCACCAAAATGAGCAAAGCCCTTAGGAGGCCCCCGAATGAGCGCAGCTGCCGTCGGCGGGTGGAGCCGGGGCGGCGCAGCAAGCCGACGCGCACGCCGCCTCTCCCGGGAAGCCCCGGCTGACAGATGGTTGATCTCCGTGTTGACAGATGATCTCCCTGTTTCGTTTCCCAACTCCGGCCCCATAATTATATCCGAGCTCTTTTGCAGGAGAACCTGGAGAGGAAAATCAGCAGTTTCTGCTCGGCTCCGCCTGGGAGCCCAGGGGCTCCGGTGGCATTTGAAACGCGCCGCGCTCGACGAAATTCAGAGCAACCCGCTCTCCCCCCTCCTCCCCGAGTCACACCACGTGCAATGCTCAGAGGTTAGGATGATGTTACTTTATATTTTCACATAAATCAGCTGCAAACGGTTGTGCCCGCGGCTATTTTTCTTATCTAGCGTGCCGTTCCACCTGTTGGTCAGCGCTGAGCTCCCCTCTCCCTTCGGCTTTGGCGCGGGCTTTTTTTTTCTTTTGCTACAGCAGCGGCAGGATGCATGGGATTTGTTTTTTATTTGGTGCGTGAAATGCTCCCTCTGTCGTTTCGGGGTCCTTCCTGAAAAGCTGGGTGTCTCTGCACCCCCTCCGCTTGCAGCCTGCCTCCCCGGAGCCACCCGTTTGCGTTTCCACGCCGCGGCGCGGCTTTGGTGCTGGGGTGCTTGTGCTGCTCCCAGTGCGATTTGTATTTTTGCCATTTAAATTGAGGAAAGGAAGCAGCAG